TCCGATCTCAAGGGCAGCGGCGCAGCACTCGCGACGGCAGCTGGCAGGACGGCGCCCTCCGCCCGCCCGGCGCTCCGCAGTGGGGCTCCCCGCGCGCCCCGCCTGGCCGCCCCGGTTTCTCCCGCCGCCGCCGCCGCCGCCGCGAAGCCCCCCGCCGCCCGCGCTGGCTTACGTCGGAGGGCGTCCTGTTCCGCAGCTCTAAGTGGATCCTTTTCTTCATGTCCATGTCCCCGATTCCGCGGGAGGCCGCCTGGCTCCGCCGCGCTCCGCTCCCTCTTTTGTATTGACACCGGTGGCTCCAGCGGCGACCCCCCCTCCCGCCCCCCCGACCAAAGCCAGCGCGCGAGGCGAAGAGGGACTTTGAGCGCTCAACCAGCTTCGCTCGGAATCCCCCAACGCGGCCAACCAGCGCGCACACTAGCGTGATCGCCGCGGGGGCGGGCGCTCCGCGAGAAAAGACTCCCGTTTGAGGGACGGGCGGCGAGGCCAACTGGAGGACGAGGGAGGCTGGGCCGGCGGCCGGCGTACCAATGGGAAAACGCGGTAGACCGGCGGGTGCGACCGCCCGGTCGCTAACGAGGGAGATGCGGAGCAGTCGCCGCGAGCTGCGGTGGGAGTCGCAGGGCGGTCGGCGGCGGGACGGACGGCCGCGGCGGAGGCGCAGCGCGCGGGAGTCTCCGTGGGCGGGATGGGCGCCGCCTGCCGATTCACGGAGCCCTCGGCCCGCCGGGTTGGTGAGCGCCGGAGCGGCCGAGGCGCGGCTTCGGGGCGGGCGATGGAGCGGCTGCTTGCGAGGGCTGAAGGCGGAACAGCGTCGGAGAAGATTGGCGGGCGGTCGGAGCGCGTGGCGCTTTCTCGGCCGAGGAAGAAGGATTTGCTCTCCGGGGTGTCGCTTCGAGGAACGGATCTCCCGACCGCCTTTCCTGGCGAAGCGACGGAGCAGCCCCTGGCTTGCTACCGCCCGGACCTCCCCCGGGAAAGGAGGGGAAAGGCGACCGGGCCGGGCACTTCTCGGACCCGGTAACCACGCTGGCGGGGCGGCCGGGAGGGCTGGGAAGAGGCCGCGGGCGCTTATCGGAGGGGAGACCCTGCCGGAGAGGTCTCGCGGGCTCCTTGGCTCCCGTGTCGGACGCGGCAAAGAACTCCCGAAGGGCCTTGAAAAGCTGCAGCAGCTGGACTGGCTCGGACTTTCCCCCTCTGGGCAGCCTGGTTCACGCATCTTGCCTTAAAAGTCCCGTTTTTATGAGCGGGAGAGGAAGAAAAGCCTCAATCGGGCTGCTTTTCCTGCTGCATCCTTGGTAGCATTGCAGGTATTCTGGTCTCCACCCTGTCCCGGCTGTCTTAAAGTAGTCTAAAGTGTTGGGTTTTATTTATTAACGTTTCTAGTTAGCTCAATTGTTCTGGAAAATGAAGTGCATTTGCTATTAATGTTTGCTCAAAAGGCTAACTACTGTTGTAGTCTTTGATTCTGCATTAGGTACGACTGTTACAGGAGTAGTTTTATAGTGTGACTTCGATTGATTTTAGTATCCCAGCTTTCCTCTTCTCCAGCAGGACAGTGGGGCAGATCTGGCATCAGCTGGGGCTGCTGGATTCTTTTCTGGAGAATAAATATGAGAGCACAAAGTACTTCCAATAACTGCATATATGAAGGCAAAAACATTCCCTCAAGTCACAGTCAATTCCCAGTGTTTTCACAGGCTTTTAAGAAGAGACTGGACAGCCACTTGTCTGAAATGGTATAGGGTCTCCTGCTTGAGCAGGGGGTTCCAGCTCATTCTAATTGATTGACATGTCTATGTATTTTGTCTCTGAGCCTTCTTCCCACATGTAGTTGAGGCTTCTCATTCTATCCTGTTGCTTTGGGATATTTTTCTGATCTCCATCCAAATGTTAATTAGGTCTGACCCTACTGAGTATTTTGCAGTCAGCCAGCTGGATGTTTCTATGTAAGCAGATCAGGGATAGAGAATATGAACCATTTGAGAATCCTTAAGATTGTTTTGCATCTTTCAAAGACTGAATGAGATCCCAGGGCTGTGAAAAGCAATAACAATAATAGAGTTGGGGTCTTCTAATCCAACCCCCTGCTCAGGCAAGAAACTCTATACCATTTCAAACAAATGGTTCTCCAGTCTCTTCTTAAAACCTCCAGTGATGGAACACCCACAACTTCTGGAGGCAGGTGGTTCCATTGGTTAATTGTTCTCACTGTTAGGAAATTTCTCCTTAGTTCTAGGTTTCTTCTCTCCTTGATCAGTTTCCATCCATTGCTTCTTGTACCTGCCCTCAGGTGCTCTGGAGAATAGCTTGACCCTCTCTTTTCTGTGACAGTCCCTGAGCATTTCACCAGTTCCAGAAACTGTTCTTGGTGTGCTACATGAAAAGTTGCCTGTCTCTACTGCTACTGAAAGAATTGCTAACCATGCCCAGTGATTAGATAAGAAAGTGACAAAAAGTCTACATTCTTTCTCTCTACAGTCCAAATGGGTCCTTCTAGGCCCGTGATGGCGAACCTATACCACGCGTGCCACAGGTGGCATGTAGACCCCTCTCTGTGGGCACGCGCACCTTCACCCCAGTCCTAGGCCCTGAGGGGTTTGCAGCTCTGCGCATCCTCACTTGTGCCAGCAGCGGGTGAGCGCATGTGCGTGTGTTCCATTTACATGAGCGGGAGGCGTGCTTGCACACTGCAAATGGAGCTGCGCATGCACTTGCTGACTGCACTATCCCCTCTCCTCCCCCCCCCACAGGTCCACAAAGCCGGAAATGTTGGGGAATTCTGGTCTAAGTGCTCTTGCTATAGGTTAGTCTCATGATTAATATTAAAGATAACTCAGCATGTCTTGTGGATTTTACATTGGGTTTTAAATATTCGGAAGACGCAACATTAAAATTCGGTTTAATTCGGTTTTAAGGGGGGGATTGTATATATGTTCTGGTTTTAAATATGTTGTGCGCCGCCCTGAGTCCCCGTCGGGAGAAGGGCGGCATATAAATTAAATTAAATAAATAAATAAATAAATAAATAAAATAAATACTTATAGGATAATCTAATGAGCCTCTCTGATTTTGAAATTATGATTTATATTATATGTGAATTAGGCTACTGTGGCTTGCTTCATTATAATGGAAACAAATGATGATTTACAAGTGAAACTAGCCATTAAACTATACTGCTGAGCAGTGCTGTTGATATTTTTGGCATTTGGGTGTGATGCATATTCTCTCTGGTGCCCAGAGAATCTGGTTAAACCAACTTGTGGCAGCCTTTTTAAGGTGCAGGCCTCTATGTTAGTACATTTTGTACTGTGCTTTACTGTGTCTAAAAAAACTGTCTGAGAAATTATGTCTTCATTAAGACTTGTATTGTGATATTAATTTCTTAAATACAATAAAAAAATCAATTGGCAAACCTTGAGCATTTTTTCTTAAAAGTGGGTATCAATAGTTGCAGTGGCTTGGTACGAACCAAGCTATTAATGTGTAGATTACAATTTAACATGAGAGTAGCATCTTGTATAAACCTATCTGCTATAAGCTATGTGGCAAATCCTGTCTGCATAATACAGGTGAGCTTTGGGTTCCCCAAATATTCCTGGCAATAAACCTTTTTGAGTTCTGTGACTGGGAGCAGGTGGGGAGCTGTGCTACACAACCTGCATGAGCTGATTTAATCTTAGTCTTGCATCTTTTGTCAACCCCATCCAGTGCATACCCCTTGTCAAGATGGTTAGATTAAAGTTTATTGTGTCATTCAAAAGTGCAAAATAATCATGGGGGGAAATTGTGTAATCAAATTAAAGTGTACACTTTCACAGCCTAGTCATTTTACACAACCGGTAAACTGGTTGTGTAAAAGCTCAGTGGGTTGCAAGACTCTAATTGGAAAGCGGTTTGAACACGGGTGATATTTTGACCATGGAGTGAAAGACACCGGAAGACACCAGGATGTGAAGCTAGCCCTCCGGTCACCTGGAAGGAGGCGAAACGGCTCCTCCGGCCTGGCTTGGGTTCAGCATCGCCGCCTTCCTCCGGCCTGCCCTTCCTAAGTTCAACGGGTCCTGCTGCCTCCGGGCCGGGGGGGAGCCCTCCGCAGCCCCAGGGATCCCAAGAAAATTCTCGGAGGGAGGCGGGCGCTTAAGAAAGCCGCGGTGCATCGAGAGAGACGGCCTCTCCGCCGGGCTCCGCGGCCCCAGCAAGCGCTTCGCCGGGCAGCTAAAGCGGCCGGGCCGGCGGAGGGGGGCGGGCCGGGCGCGGCGCGGATTCCGAGGCGGGGGCGGCGGGGGCGGCGGTTGTGCACTCGGCCCTGCCGCCCCAGGAGGAGGCGGGGGATGGCGGCGGGGCGAGGGCGGCGGCCGAGCGGCGGCTTCCCGGTGGCGGGGCTGCTGCTGCTCCTCCCGGGGGCGTTGCTGAGCTTCCTCCCGCGGGCGGCCCCGTACCCGAGTGAGTGGCGGGACGGGCGGGGAGCGGCTCGTGCGGCCACTCCCGTCCAGGGCGGCCCCGGAGAAGGCCCCGCAAAGCCCTCCGCCGCGGAGGGGCCGGGGCTCCCGGGCGTTTCCCTAGCGACACCGCGGACGGGCCCCGAGCGCCCAGGCCCGGCTAGGCGGCTGCCCGGCGGGAGGGCGGAGAGCGGCACCTCCTGGCGCCCTCGGGCTGGTCGGTAGCCGGTAACGGGAGAGGCCGGCCGGAGGAAGCGAGGAAAGAGGCCCCGGGCCGTTCCTGCCTTCGCAAGGCCGCCTCGGGCCTCGCCTGGTCGTGGCTGAGTTGCCGGTCTCTCGCGGTCTCCTCAGCTCCGCCCCAGCGCAGCTTCCCCGGTCTCGTCCGGGGTCGCAGCCCGTGCGGAGCAGAAACCGCTCTGGGCGGCAGAGAGCCCGATCCAGGCGGGGGGGGGGTGCGGCCATCTAACGGCTGTCCAGATGTTTGCAGTTGCAGCCTGCCTGCCTGCCTTCGTTCCTCCTTTCTCTATTTGTTCATCACTCTTAGATCCTCCATCGTTCTTTTTCTGGGGCCAGGCCACTTCAGTATACTGCCCTTGTACAACTAACTTATTTTTGTTTTCAGTCGGTATTCACCCATTCTTGACTCTGGGTTTCTTCTTGGGCCACAAACTCAAAATTTTTAAGAACCCAATTTCAAATAGCACCAGTTACTTTAATTTTTCTCCTAATGTACTCAACTCCCATTTTTCTGCAACAAAGTGGTTTCTACCATCCATTTTTGCTTATACCCATTCCCATTCCACCTCACAAGGTTGCTGTTGTGGTGAGACTAGAGAGTAGAGAGAAGAATAAGAATAGAAGAATGGAATAGAATTAGAATTAGAATTAGGGTAGAATAGAAATAGAATAGAATAGGGAGGTCTTCTAGTCCAGGGATCCCCAACCCCTGCTCCGTGGACCACACAAACAAGCAAAGCACCATCTGTGAGATGCAGGCAGCACACAAAACCGTGCCCCCTCCAATCCACTCTCTCCACGTAACCGGTGCCTGGTGCCCCAAAGGTTGGGGACCTCTGTTCTAGTCTAAACCTCGAGGCAAGCCATTCCACTAATTAATTGTTCTTATTGACAGGAAATTTCTCTTTAATTCTAGGTTGGATCTCTCTTTGATTAGCTTCCACTAGTTCTTGTCCTCCCCTCAGGTGCTTTGGAGAATAGGTTGACTCCCTCTTGTTTGTGGTAGCCCCTCAAATATTGGAACTTTGCTGTCATGTCTCCACTAGTCCTTCTTTTCAGAAGACTAGACATACCCAGTTCCTGTAACCGTTCTTCATATATTTTAGCCTCCAGATCCTTAATCATCTTTGTTTACAGAGACTCAATATCCTTTTTCTATCATGTTGATCAAAACTGAATGCATGGTGTGTTTTGGATATATTCACCACCTTGAGTTATTTTTAAAAATAAGGAAGACAGGATACAAACACACAAAAATAAACTATTCCTTATAGAACACCACATATTACCACTATGTTTCTGTTACATCTTGTTCTTTGCCACAGCTCTTTCGGATTCTCAGGCAGCAGCCTTTGTGTGTACAGAAATCCATATACATTCATGACCCAAATGTGACCATATATAGTATTTAATATTACCTGACTGCTGGGAAGGAACTATATCCATCTGGTTCACTTTCTTGCATTAGGAGTGAAGTGGTTTGATTCTCATCTAAATGCAGACCAGTTTCAACCCTGGTTAGCTTTTTGAGATCAGTTTTTATTGGCTGAGTTTGTTTTGAAAGAGCAGCTTAGCCATTCCCCTAACATGGCTATCATTGCGTGGGCAAGATTGTAACTCAGTGGAATTATATTAGAAGACTTCCCTAACCTTACATATGGATTTGCTCAAGTTATTTCCAAGGGATGGTAGCAATAGATACAAAACAATTATTCATGATTTTTAAATAAAAAACTGAAGAAAATAACTGTTATATAAAATGAGCTGAAAATAATTGCTGTACTGTATGACTAACTCTTTTTATTGTTTTTTACTTTTTCTGGATTTTTTTTAGGTGTGACACACCGTTATGAAAATGTTAAAGTAGTGGAGGTAATGATAGTTTCAAGATACAGGAAATAGGTTGTATTTCTAATATCGTAAATTTCTTAAATCACTTCTGATCCAGATAGAAAATATGAATATTCTTTTTCACATGCAACCAAGCATGCATTCCCCATACAGGCGGCCTTCGCCCATTGTACTAAGACATAGCTTATTGATAGTAAGCCTTAAATTATAACTTAGAAATCACAACACCTGGATTCACGCAACAGATAAAACTAAACAAGCAATGTTAGGGCTAAAATGATTCTACTCTAATAACATTATGGGAGAATGTGTGTGTGTAAGTCTAGATTATGTGATGGGGAATGTGTCAGGCTTTCCGGTGAAACCAATTCCCGAAATCCATTCTGCTGTAGGAGACCTAAAGACGTTGCTGAAAATTCATGAGTTGTCTCAAGAAATGAGCCAGAAGGCAGATCTTTTGCTTGTCCTGGCCACTCAGCTGTTTTTGAAGCTTTCAGCCATGCCATTCTTCCAGGTCACCTTGAAGGGATGAATTTGGGACATTGTTTCTCAAAGTAGTGATTGACAAATTTCCAGTTAAGAGGTACCATGTGGTTCATTTGGATTCATTGTACTTTATAACAGAGGTGATTGGATTAGCTCACCTGAGCATTTGAACTTCATGCTGTGTATCTCTCTGAAAAATAGCAAAAGTTCTGAACTGGTATCTAGAATAATTAAAGAGTCAAATCTCCTCCAGCTTAATCCAGACAAGATAGAGGTTGGATGAATTGAGGAACCCTGATCCAAAAAAACCGTGCATCATCCCAGTGTGGACAGGAAAATGAGCCCTGGTGCCCTAGTGGTTAGAATGCAGCATTGCTGGCTGGCTCTGCCCACTGTCAGGAGTTCGATTTTGACCGGCTCAAGGTTGACTCAGCCTTCTATCCTTCTGAAGTTGATAAAATGAGGACCCAGATTGTTTGGGGAATATGCTGACTCTGTAAACTGCTTAGAGAGGGCTGTGAATAAGTCTAAGTGCTATTGCTATTGATAGAGGTCCATCCGGATCAACTTTGAGCATGTGTATTATAACAATTTCACCTGTGGGAAATGGATTCCTTTGTACCAGTATTGAAAGAAATTGGAGCTGGCCTTGGAAACCCCTTGTCAAATTACAAATCATAATGATCTGGCTCCAAAACGTTCCATAATTTTCAGGAATTGGAAACTGACCAGTAACACCAATCTGTAATTTAGAAGAACCCTGCAGCTGTTGTAAACAGGCCAATTGCCAAGCACCCGAAGTTATAAGTGTGAGAACTGGTCATTGGTCAGTTTTTTTTGAGTGCTGTTGTAAATGTGAATGGTCATTAAACGAATGGCTATAAATCAAGGCCTACTTGTAATCCTCCCCCTGAAACTACCCTAACCCCAGGGGGCTGCCTCAGAGGGCCTGGGGGCGAAGCGAGAGTTCCAGCCTTGCGACGGTCTCTCTTTCAGATGGAGCTAGAGCTGCACTTCCCAGTGTGGGCTGCCTGAACCCCGGGAGAGGCACAAGACGATCCATGGTCATATTGGAAGGAAATATTAGAACATTGACTTAGATTTATCTAATCCTTTAAAACTCATCTTTAATTTCTATTTTAGGGTTGTAATATACCTAATATGTTAATACAGTACTACATTTATATGATTAATTGGTAGCATGTATTGGGGGTGCATGCTTAAAATAATTTTATTGATAAGGGTGTAGAATCCTTACCAGTTTGGGGGCCATTGGGCCTGAAACGGAAGCTCCTTCCCCCCAATTACAGATGGGCCTGTGCAGGAAAAAACATGTTTGAGAATCTATCAATCTGATTGTTTTTACACCTTCAAGTTGCTAGAGATTCAGTTTGTGAGGTAAGTGTTCAGAAGCTTTTGGACTCTTAGCTTCAGGATTAAATATATTCTCCTGGTGGTTTTTTTTAAACAATTTAAGCATGCAACAAAAGATAAAAAGCTAATTGCCATAGTGAAATTATTCATTTTCCCCTCTTCAACAGATATCTGTGCAGCCAACTGCAGCTGAAGAGATTGTATCGGAAGGAAAAGACTCTATTGAAGTCCAGTGTAAGAATTTTTTTCCTCCCATTATGTGTTCAAAGTGACGTGATGCACCATCATTTTAAAGTCTTCTCAGAACAGCTTTCTGTTGTCTTAACTGGCCTGTGGTCATTGCACTAGCTTTTTGAGTTCCTTCCAGCCTTTGCACAAGCCAGGATCAGCACTGGGCTCAAGCTGATTGGCACTTCTGGGCGGTTCAGCAGAAGCACCAGGATTAGTGCTGGGCTCCAGCTGATTGGCGCTGATCCTGGGGCTTCTGCCGTGTCCCCATAGCCCTGCAGAAGCGCACGCTGATCCTGGGGCTCCTGCCCAGCTCACTCGCTCGTCCTTCCCCCGAAAACATGCCACTTGCTCACTCACCCTTTTGAAAATACGCTGCTCACTCGCTCACCCTTCCCCCCAAAACATGCCGCTTGCTCTGTCTCTCCTCACTGCTTTGCTTCTCGCTCTTTGTCTCCTTCTCCTGCCAAAACCTGCCCCTTTTATACCTTCTCTCTGCTCTCCTCCTCCTTTTCTCTTCTGGGTGTGCCGGAAGCTCCAATTACTATGTCGCCACGTGTGCCGATCCTGGGGCTTCTGCCAAGCTCTGCAGCTCCAGCTGATCTCCTCCAGGTCTGTGTGACGCCACTTTAGCTGATTCTTTCCCCTGCTACACTTGGCTAGGGGTCGCGTATCACCTGCCAGGTGCTAAAGTATCACTGATGGTACGTGTACCACTGGTTGAAAAGCCCTGATCTAGGACTCCAAAGTTCTCTCGATGGCACCATCCTTTAAGGCAGTGGTTTACTTTAAAAATTCTCTGTTCTCTCATTGGATGTTTACCTTTTGTTGGGAGCACAGATGAAAACACCACCTGTGTTCCCATCTCTTTGGCCTTCATGCCTAGCTGTTCATAGTCTCTTGATATTGTTTTCAGGCTCTTTGTTGTACCATTCATTCTCACATGAAAGAGAACAAATGGATAATAATCTGTGGACAATTATTTTAGTAAACCTCTCAATTACATCTTTGATCTTTGCTCCTGGGAGACAGCATACTTTCCTAGATAGATTGTCTGGTCTACAAAATTGCTGATTTAATTCCCCCAAATAGTGAGTCTCCTATTACCAACAGACACCCTTTTTCCTTGCGGAAATCTAGTCTACTTTTTTTCCTGTCATTGTCCTTCTCCATACTTTCTTCCAAGGGGAGGATTTGAAATTGATTAACTCCAGCGGACTGCATGGAGAATGTTTTTTATTTTTTGTCAGTACGGAGGCCCTTCAGGTAGCAGAATATATAACTAAACCATAAAAACATAACAGAATTCAAATAATTTCATCTGAATTTAAATCAGGGACAGTTATTAATGAGCTAATAGGCATTCCGAGTTACTTTGAGAAAGTTTACAAGTTGATGAAGAAATAAAATAGGTATCTAGCTGGGCCATAAAACAAAGTCATCCAGTGTCAAATTGTGATATATAGCAGTGCAGATATGTTCATAAAAGCTGTTTCTTTTACAGAAGACAAGTAAACAAGGTATACACTTAATGGCTTTATTTACTGTTTTACAGTACCTTCCAACACAGGTGAAATTGCAGCAAAAAAGGAAGAGCAAACTTTGAATGATCTTGTGAATCTTTTGCAAGATGTAGTAAAAAACATCCCCACAGAACTTGTATTGTCAACTGAACAACCCCCAACTCTTTTGGCACCTGACATAGTAACTTCCCCATCTGTAGCAGTGGACACTGTTTGGGTGAATGTGAACCCCCAAGATAGTGAGAAGCCCAGAACAATTGCCTTGATGAAAAAGGATACTCCAACTACAACAGCCTTTTGGAAACTAAGAAATGACCCAACAGCATCTGTTATCCTGCATTCCAACACAAGTCCCTCAGAAAATCTCCCAAGTGAGACCAGTGAGTCTGTTGTCCTGATTTCTGAAGAGGCAAGTCCAGGAAACACATTGAGCACCATTTCAATCCAGGTGGAAAAAGAAGCAACTACTAAGGGAGAAGGTAAGAGTTTTGATCAGTTAACAAATGGAGCCTTGGCTAGTCTAGTGGAATCTCTAAAGAATGTACAAAAATTACATATGACGCTAGACAATAATGAACCACAGCAGAAAAGCCATCCAGTGAAGTTGGCTCATCATAAGCCTAGAGGTTTAGACATCTTAGAAGCAATTGATACACTAATTAAATCCATTAAGAATGCACCACCCTCTGTTAAAGAAGATCCAGCTCTCCATGAGTATGTTGAGGAAGCAGAGGGTTACTTAAAAAATGCTCTGGAATTAGCAGGGGAGGCAGAGAGGAAACTGTTGCAGAAGAAGGAACAGCAGATGAAACTTGACACTGAGCTTCTTAATCCCCCATCAACAGCTCCACCTATAACGGAAATGAAGTTGGAGGTAGAACTGCCTTCCTCCCTCTCATCAGAAGCATCTGAGGCAGAAATAAAGCTGGATGTAGAGATCACACCTTCCCCATCAACAGTTCCACCCGCCACACAGGTGGGGATAGACAGATCCCCTTCCCCATCAACAGCTCCATCTGTAACAGAAGTGGACATCCTTTTGCCTGCATCTAAGTCTCTGGAAAAGAAAGCAGAAGACACGGAAAAAGAAATGGGGAAATTAAAAGCATTTATTAATTTATTATATGGCTTTAGTCCTGAATTAACTGAATATACAGAAAATTCACCACATAAAAAGATGGCTCAAGATATTGTTGAAAGATCAATGGAAGTCCTTGATGCCATAAAGAGTGTTTTTTGTGAAAATCCTAAAAAGCAAAGTAAACAGATTTTGAAGCAGTTGTTACAGAAAGACATGGAGCTTGTAAGACAAGCCATGAAGGAAAAAAGAGCCTCTTAAGTTACACTATAATCCTTGGTATTGTAGGTTTTTATGAACAATCAAGAGGTCTGTTTTCTTAATTGTAACAGCAATTGAAATACATCTGTTGCCCTTTTCACGCCTGAAATTAAATGTTTATTTTTAAATATTTTTGTTTTCATTTTTCATTGGATTGATATCTGTTAAGGATTAAGAAACAAAGAATTAATTTAACAGTTGTATGTTAAAGTTCATTCCAGAAAATCCTGTTCTTGTCATTGGATTAACTGAACAATTATTTACAGTTCTACAGTTGGCAGATGCTTCTGGGATTGATGGTTATTCGTTGTTTGTTCTCAGGAAAGGAACCCAGAAGACTATTTGTGGGCAGCCATGTTGCTGATAGCATCTTTAATCCATACCTGATAGGAGAAAAAAATCTTGTACATTGGATATGTGTTAAAAGTTTTTGGAAGCCTAAACAGATAGAAATAAAGTGTGAAATGCAAATTTTAAGACGCTAAAATTCAAGATGAATAATGTGATCCTAGGGCAGGGGTAGGCAACCTTGGCTCTTTTATAACTCATGGACTTCAATTCCCAGAATTCCTGAGGCAGCATGGCTCAGCTTGGAAACCTCTCCCTTACCCCTCAGCATGGCTGGCTTAGGAATTCTGGGAGTTGAAGTCCACGAGTCATAAAAGAGCCAAGGTTGCCTACCCCTGTCCTAGGGGAAAAGAATCTATGGAAAGGTTATTGGAAATGTTTAAAAGATTTATGTTCATGTAGAACACAAATTATTTTGGTCCTTTTGCTGTATTACTCAGTTCAGTGAATTAGTGAAGAACAAATCAATTGAACAAGCAAACACTTTGATTATCTGAAGTAATTACATTTTGGCCTCCTCTGAGTTGCTTTTACATTTAGCTAGTCATCAGCACCTGTTGCAGGAGTGGCATAAATTTACGCAGGCTTCTCTTGAGTGAGGCAGTTTGGCTGGCTACTGGCAGAGTAGATATTGAATGCTACACAGAGATATTTACTTCAGTGTATATCATTACATCTTTCTTATGTGTGTCAAAAAGAAGTTCTATAAATTATTTTGGGAAGGTTTTAAGGCGCTAGACAAAGAAGCCTCTGACACGGAAATTTCAGGTAACCCATTCCTATCTTTTGCAATGCATTTTTAATTTTGTGTCTGAATTATCCAAACTCATTTATTTTAAGTCTTTTTCTTCAGAACAAATGTAGTTTGAGTCTCATGGATTCAGTTGAGATGGGTGAGAGAACTGCATGCAGCCCCTGAATAGGAAGATTTAATTAATTCTCCCAATTCAGTGATTTGAGCAAAGTTCAAAACCACCTATTTGGGCATTTTCCATGAGAAGGAAAATGGGGCATATTAATTTCACGAGAGATTATGTTATTGCTTGACTTTATGAGACAAGTTTTTCACATGACCTAAATGATCAAAATGCTTAAATGAGGTTTTTTTTTTAAAAAAAAAAATCAATATCTTTCTTTGATAACTGTGGCCTTCTTTTAACCTAGATAGATGTGAGGCAACTGATTTTGCATGTGCAAAATGATAATCTTTGCAATATTTTTCACTGCACAAAATGCGTCATTCTCAAAGTTGCTGCAGCTTTCAGCATGGAATGCTCTGAACCTGAGCTCAGTGGTGCAATGACTTCCCAGTTTGTCATCCCACAGTATTCGGCTCCCCTAATCTGGAGAAGGGGGGACCTGATGTCTTCTTCTGGGCTAGGTTAGACTTTTCAAAATGCACAGTAGTTCACTGGGACATAAAATGAAGTTGAAGTGGAAAATGACCTGTTTTTCACATGTCTGTTGCAACCCCCTGTACAGTAGCAATTTCATTTTGAGTTTATTATTCTACAAGAGAATTTATCTAGAAAGGGGGGGAGAGAATTCTTGTGCTCCCTTTCTGAGAGCTAGAAAATATGGATAATATGACTCTGAAGTTGTAGCAATTTGAGCAGCACACAATCCCCTTAGCATTAGGGATGAATTCATGGAGGGAATGTGGCAGTTAGAATATTCCCTGCTCACAGACAGAATCTAATACAGAGTCTCAAGATAATGCTGTAAAAGTGAAAATATATAAATGAGAATTGCATCATTTAGCTGTGTAAATTACAGAACAAGTACCAGGAGATAAAATGTTAACCAAATTGGCTGAAATAAACAACAAAGAAAAATGCTTCCCCTAATCTCCTGACAATTGCAGTATCAAATGCAAACTATCCATAAGATTCTCGGCTGGGGCAACAAATAGTATGAAGATTTTAGTCACTATTACCATTATTTGTTGAAATAACACACCTCATTAAATTTACATTTATGAATGACCTTTATGAAGTAGTCTTTATGCTTTTCCCCTCATTCCCAAGCTGACTGCCAGCCAAAAGTGTGATGCAGTTGCAAAAAAAAGAACAAAAAAAAGGCAGATGCTACTAATACAGTGTCAAGATCAAGAGACGTGGTCATTGTTCTTTGGTCATTGCAGCCCCAATACTGTGCTCTTTTGCCCTCTCCATTCTATTATGGTTAACATTTCCAAAATTTGCTAATTGAATCATGGGATTGGACAAATGCTTCCCATGAATTATATACTTCAGTAATTTGTTAACGGTTGTTACAAGCCATAAAAGCAAACTGACATTCTTATGGGATCTGTCCCTTAGGTTTGATGCAGCGTTACCATATTGGCATTGTCTGTGTAATCTTACTCTCTGCATCCTTGGTTTTTCTCTTGAGGAAGGTGTGTGTATGTGTGTCTGTAGAATAATCCTTAGTTTATAGAATATTAACAGCTGGAGAATCACAGGAATGTCCTGGGGGGAGAGGAGTAAAAAATATCAAGAGGATTGGCAGTCTTGCAATCAAAGAGTAAGGCCTCAACTCTGTGGCCACAGCTGCCATCTTGACTGAACATCCCTGGAAATGAACAATGAAGCTCAACCCTCTTTTGCAGCCGTGGTCCTTTCATCTGCCACCTACAAACATTTCATCTATAGTCTTACAATACACAAAAGGGAGCAAACAAAAGATCTTAAAAGGCCACTCAATGAAATGGCCCAGAGCCAAAAAGCTGCTACTGTCAGTTAATCTATCAGATAGGGTCTCCTGCTTGAGCAGGGGGTTGGACTAGAAGATCTCCAAGGTCCCTTCTATCTGTTATTTTGTTATCTACCTTGTAGGGCTAACAACCATGAACCTGGATGACAACACAAAATGGCTCATGTGGGTAGCCAAGAAGTTTGAGAATATTGCTGGTGACAATAAAGAAATCAACTTGGAACAATTCAAAACTGCGCTTAAAGTGAAGGAGGCAAGTTAGATCTGACTGAGCTGTGTGAATGACAGAGCTGTGCTGCAACTCAGAATGACCACCTTTGCAAGCAAAAAGTACAGAGATGTTTTATTTCCTCTCTTCCTTGATAAATTGAAGAATTGATCTGCATTTGATACGCTACTTAAAAGTCGAGAGACTTGACAAAGAAGTAGAAAGGTGGGAAAAAAGAGCAGAGATTTTAAAAAAAACATTTATATTTCAATTTATATAGCTGCCGATCTCACTTACGTGATTTTCAGCAGCTCACAAGTTAAAACAACTATGACACTTATATTAAAATATTAAAATAATTAACCCAAAACATAAAAACGTGGGGAAGTGCCAACCTAAAATTTCCAGAAAATACAACCATCTTGCGGAGTCTCCATCAGTTTACCACTGACCTGACCAGGAGACCAAGAAGCCACGGAGCAGGGAGCCAATTAGCCCTCTGGGAGAAAGTCCAGGGAGTTGGGAAGCTGCCTTCCTGCTGAATGCAGGGCTCTAAAAAAGGAGGCGGGTTTTCTCCTCTTGATTCGGACTCCAGCCAAGCATCTTCTGTGAGTCTCTGGTTTAATGCTGGAGAGTCTGGGTCCCCCTTGGCTCTCCGTTTCGGAGCGATTCCCTCACCAGATTCCTCAACGCCTTCAACACTGGCGGAACATCTAATGTACTGAAAAAATCCTTAAAAATTCAGGGAGATGCATCTGTCTTGAAAGGAGCCCATTAACAAATATAGTTGTTAATTTGTCTGGAACTTATATGTCTCAAGACATCTCAAAGGTGCTTTCCCCCCCCCCCAAAAGGCAACTGGACCGTTTTTTTCTTTGAGGAAGAAGAAGAAAATATTTCGCTTCTCATTCAAGAAGCTTCATCCGTTCTGATGGTGGTGGGGGGATTGAATGATAGGTTCTGACCAGATGGTGGTGGGGGCGGGGGAATAGAAGGAATCCATCTATGTTAGAATATGTTAGAATCCATCTGTTCTGAGATTTTCTTGATTTATGGCAGTGTAATACTTTTTATATCAAGACTATATCAGAAACCACCAACAGATTACTGCAATGTTTTGAAGGGCTTTAGCTGGCTTGTATGCTGCGCTGATTCCATGTGGTTGCAGGAGTCTGTTGGTGGTTTCCGAGATATTCTTGATATATGGCAGTGTAATTCTTTTTTAGGGTTGTGCTATACAGCACAACCAACCCAAAGCCTAATAAAAATTACACTGCCATACATCAAGAATATCTCAGCAACCACCTACAGACTCCTACAACCACATGGAATCAGCAGTAGCACACAAGCCAACTAAAGCCCTTCAAAACATCCTAAGCAGACCAAAAAACCCAACAACCCCAGAAGAAAAAACAGGAGTCATCTACAACATACAGTGTAAGGACTGCAGCAACCACTGCGTAGGACAAACAGGCAGAAGACTGGCAGAACGCATCCATGAACACCAACTAGCAATCAGAGGACATGATGAACATTCTTTAATTTCACAACCCATCGACAGATTTAACCATAGATTCAATTGGGAAAATGTGACCATCCTGGACCAAGCCAAACCCCAAAATGCCAGGGAATTTCTAGAAGCCTGGCATTCATACAAATCAGCCATCAATAGACAGACATCAACAACATCTATAGATTATGCAAAAGAGACTGTCACCCAGCCCAAAAAGGAACAAAAAGACCCAAGCACCTCTCCACCAGCAATCAGCACCCAGATCAGTATAGATTAACTCCAAGGTTAACATCAGACCAACAATCAAGAAACTGCCAAAGAAGCCA